TATATAGAGAGAGAGAGAGAGAGAGAGAGAGAGAGATTATATTTCTTGTAGAATTGCCGCAAAGTCCGCATGGAAACAAAGATAATATGTAATGTGACTCATGGCTCATTACAAGAATAATGAAAAGCTTTTGAATATAATATCTCGGAAATATTATAAAATGGTGTACAAAATCGCTTATAGTATTGTATTTTTTTTCATTAATTTATAGCCAAAATCATTTATTACATATATAATCGTATTCGTCATTGTAACTACAGATCGCCAGCATATCTCTAACAACAGGCAACCGAACCTTGAGTGACATTGACTTTTCAAATTGTGCCAACAGCAAACCAGCTGGTCTTCAGGAAACAGCTGGCGCTCAGCTGAGCTCCGCAGGCCCCCAAGTGTTTTTATTGACTGGAGGGGGGTAATGTTGGCTGCACTGCATAACATGACAGAAGGCAGGAAGGTTGGCGTTGTGTTATTGTTAAGTGAGATCGACGAGAGATCGACGCTGGGGTCGAAAGGCGTGTGTGATTAGGAAACATTCGCCATTGTAATTGCAAGTGCCAATAGTTACAATGTTTAGTGGTAAACATTTGGATGTGGCAGTTTTCTGAAAGCAAGCTACTCGTTTTTATTGACATTTTTCCAAGGCTTCGGTTCCCCAACAGTTACTTTCATTATGTCGTCACCGAGTGCTGGGAAGCGACGAATGGATACAGATGTTATAAAACTGTATCCTTTATGTTACGTAGTTTTCACTACGTTTTGCACCTTATTTTTTAATGATTCAGATGTGTTTAATCGTAATGCGTCGTTGTTAATTTTTTAAATTTATGTGATGTGCGTAATTGGTACTGCGCATTTTTTTTGCATGCGAGTGAAGATATTTCTTCATTTGGATGGTTGCATTGTTCCCATTGTTGTCTATACTTGTAGTATTGTCAGCTGTACAGTTTGTACCAATGTTGAATGAAGATGACGAATGTTACGACTTTGGTATGAACAAAGCCAATGTGTGTACTTTCCTTTGTGTCTTGCCAGAATTGTGCAAATATCAGTGACCTATTTTTTTCATATGAGAAAATAAAATCTATTTTGTATTCATTATGAGATTGCTGTTCACGTTTTTAATTTTTTTTATATTGGTTAAAAATGAAGCAGTTTGTTATTGTTGGCATTTGTAATTTACATTTCTTTTTCTTCTTGTCAGTATAATTTAAGCATCCAAAGAGTTGACTGAACCATTGTTTGTGATACAGTAAAAATATTATGAAGATAATGTGACCTGTCATTGTTGATATTCCTTGACTCTGTCTTTAGCATAGAGAGTCAACATGAAGTGACTTTATTAGGTGGACTAAATGAATTTTGTGTGAAATTTTATGGCCCCAGGGGCAGTAAGTAACTTTCTTTATTTCAAAGAAGTGAGATTATCACAATATGTTTGTTGAAACAAAAATTTTTTTGTGTTGGCCTAAAAAATATGAATTGTTATGAACTTTCAGACAAACTGTCAATGTATTGTCATAGTGCTAGTTCATTATTGTGTAAAATGTATATTTTCAATACGACTGTCATTCTTCTATTCTGTTATGGAAGAACTCATTTTTACATTTCCATTTTTTTTTATGGTTTCCCATTTAATGCATTCAATGCAAAAGGCGTGGATGAAAATATTTGTTCTTCAACCTTGTATTAAATTTGTAATTTATAACAAAGAAATTTTCTTCTAATTCAATTGCTTTTATGAATGATTTTTATTTGATTAAGTAACAGTTTAACAGATTAAGTTTGTTTAATAGGCATTGCATGTAGTGTACAATGTTAATTAATATTAAGTTATATATCTTGAGTTTTGTGGCACTTATGAACTCATACGATGTGCTTCATATCCTGGCTATCAGTGTATCCAAGTCTACTTTGTTGTTTTTTTTCTAGCTCCATATGAAGGTGGTATTTGGAAAGTTCGTGTACATTTACCAGAACATTATCCCTTTAAGTCGCCTTCTATAGGTTTTATGAACAAAGTTTATCATCCAAATATCGATGAAGTGTCAGGAACGGTGTGCCTGGATGTTATAAATCAAGCTTGGACTGCACTCTATGGTGAGGCATTTGAAAACACCCACTTGTTTTACTTTACAGTTATTGTAGCTCTGATTTTCAAATAGGGGATTATAAAATATAATTTTTTGTGCTGTTTTTTTCTTCCATTTCAGATTTGTCCAATATCTTTGAGTCGTTCCTTCCACAGCTGTTGACGTACCCTAATCCCATAGATCCTTTGAATGGTGATGCTGCAGCAATGTATCTTCATAAACCTGAAGATTATAAAAAGAAAGTCCAAGGTAGTGTTAATGAAATATTTTAATCCTTACTTATATCAGAGCTGTCTTCTTGCTTTTAATTTAAATTTTCCTGTAGAATACTTTCCTTTTTTTACTGTGGTTCATTAAATTTATTTTAACATTAAAAAATATGCTGAAATGTGCTGGTTGATGTTAAAAATGTTAACCATAAAATGAAGTTTCAACTTAGTTGAATTAACTTTTAACCATGGGAGATGGAACATGTATTAATTAAATATACCATTTTTCATAGTTTCCACCATTTTCATTTTAAATTAAAGATTGTTTACTATGTCAATATTATTTTGTTGCACTTCTCTGTATTTCATTTCATGATTAATCATTGTTACTTTACGTACTTTTGAAGTATTGATTGAAATGTGATGGTATTTTATTGATGTGTGTATAGAGATAAAGAGAAAGGAAAATATATTGAAATTTTCAATGCATAAGAGGTTAAAATAAAATTTCAATTTTCGTGTGTATCAATTAGTTGAATAAACTTGGTAATAATTTAGGTGATTATAATTTTTAATAATATTGAAAACAGCAAACTTTTTGTGATTAAAATGTGTAGATTATAGTATTAATTTATAGTTATAAAATATTTGTGTAAATTCATAAATAACTCTCATATTTTACAAATCACAGCTTTTAGTAATGTATTTCTTATTTTTATGTCACATTTATTGAAGTGACATGTTTGTAATTGAAAGGTATTTTATGAGTTTGTATGAGAGGCTAGAAAAAATATTAGGTGTGATTTCTTAATCTGGAGGGAAAGATGTTAATTGCCTCCAGAAGCCTTCCAGTGAAGCAACACAAATATCACCGTATAATTCCCATGGCATTGTTTTGAGGAGCACTGCAGGTTTTTTCTATAAGAAGCTGTAGTACTAAGTTGTGATGTTTCCATCTTGTTTAATATAGGGATTCCTAACAATCAAAATAGATTTATATTAATGTGATATAAAACAAAATGAGTTATATATAATGTTTTGTTGCTAAACGAAGACATAAATTCAGTACTTTTGATGGTATTTCTTCTTTTCATTTTCAGTTCACTCCAATGTAAAAAATGAAAAGTTATCTTTTTTGTTCACTTTGAGTTTTTGAGACATTAACATTATGTTACACAAAGATGCACCAATGAAAATTATATTTCTTTTGACATATGTATTTTAAAAGCTGAATTCACTATGATCAATATTTAATATATTGAAGGTTCCAGCTTCAATTTCACAGTACACTTATATTGAATAATTTGTTGATGTACATAGTTATAAATAATTTGACAACTGTACAGATGTAGATAAAAATGATTGTTTGGTGAAAGAAAGTTCAATTTTTGAATCTAGACAATTGGAAAAATGAATCCTTACTTCTTGAAAGCTTTTATTTCATTGCCAACTTTTTGTTGATACTCTGTTTACCTCATCATGCAAAACCATTCACATACATTGTTATATGAATGGTTTCGCAGCTCGTATGAAGTTAATGGTAGGTTAACAAATTGTTGATGTCAAGAAATCACCAAAGTATTTTTTTTTTTTTAATTGTTTGGATCCCCAAGGTTGTTATTCAATTGGGTTTTATAAGTTAGTTGTGTTATAAGTGATATAATAAATAGAATTATTAATTTCTATCCAAGAGTGAATGACGTGGAAGTAACATGCCAATATAAATGATTGTAATATGGCTTTTGTGTTGCACATGTGTTTTGAAGTGTGTTCTTCTTTTTGGGTCACGCATTAATCTGTTAATGTAATTTCACATTTTGGGATAACATTTGATTAATGTTGGGCTTAAATGTTGGGACTAGGTGGAACATTTTTTTTTGTCTTCATGCTAAGTTTTCCAGGTTTCATTATGTGCTTCACATTAGTTACTAAATCAGGTTCCCAGTCTGACTCTTGAAGTGTCACCCATTATTTCATGCTTTTGAAAAACAAAGATTACAAAATTCTAATATGAGATTTCTGAATTTAATTTAGACAGAGAAGTAATTAAAAAGTAATCTGATTTTAAGAAACAGCATTACAATTCTCATTTTGAATTTATAATACATAATGTGGGAAGAAAATTAATTTTAAATAAGTATCCAGTTATAAGAAACAAATCATAAGATCATTGAAACAAAATACTATATTACAACTCAAAATTGTGAAGTGGAAACTAGAAGAAGAATTTCGTCCACTCCAATGGCTATGCGAGTTGTCACAATACAGGCTGCATTATCATACTGAAAATTCTAGAATGTATAACTGATAAATTCCTGTTGTTCTGGATTCTCAGATTTGTTGCGAGTTATTGCTCCAATGTTGGAGAATATCACTGATAAAATTCTGTCCAGTTTCAAATCACTTTTTAATTACTGTTTCATTGAAGCTGTCATACATATGATGAGCACAATTTGAATGAAAAATATCTTCGGTGGCACTTTTTAACAGTCGAGTGTTTTCTGTTTGTTTTTTCTTAAATGAAAACCAATGCATTAGCAATAATACAGGGTTTAAGCAGCCTTATTCCTTTTATTTGGAATTAATATAGCTGTTTACGTGCTAATATTTCAGAGCTTTATTGCAATGAATTTTCTCCATCACGGGGAGAATAATAATGGTGTGAAATTATTACAACAATTCTGAAAAGAGTAAAGGCTTGGCACATTCATCAGTGTGGGTAATTAAAAGAGTTCTCTCAAAGATACTGTTTTGGTTATAAAGCATTGTTTGTGGTGAAATACATAATGGTACAGTAATCTTCAAACAAAGAGGCTTGGTTAACTTGGGGATCAGTACTTTCTCAATTCCTATTTTTTTTCAGTTTACTGGATCATGTGTACAGAAGGATTCACCTAATTTCTTGACTTTTTTTCTTGAGAAGTATAATTCCATAGACATGATTTTGTCAATTACACAACCAGTTTTTTTTTTTTTTTAACATTCTACTTATCTTGCTTTGAAATTGATTTTTAACCCAATTAGGGATACATGTATAATTTATGGAACTGAGAATTTCTGCTAATATTCTTCTTCTAGAGGTTCCAGAATTCCAATAAATTTATGTTCTTAACTGTTGTAATGTAGTGTATTAGTGAGATTATTTAATGATAAAATTTAAATTAATAATTTAAATCAAGATGTATGATTGACCTTTAGATCTTTTAAAGAAGAAGTCAATTATTTTCGGTATGCTTTGGGAGTAATATAGCCCTCTTAAAAACAGAGTCTAGCTAGTTGAGAAGTCTGTCAACTTCAGAATGTTGTAAATACATTTTATTCCGTTGTTTTCTATATTATCTTATCTCAAAATTAATTTATTTTTTGTAAATGCCTTAAACATCAACTATAGATTCTTAAAAAACATGGATATGAAATTAATGATTGGTAAGGAGATAGGAAATCTTTCTATTTCTTTGTATTATTGATGATTTTCAAGTGTGATTCTTAGCTGAATTACCCCCAGCTGTAATGGTCCCAAGCAAAATCATCATAATAGATTTTCATTTTCTTGGTTAAGGTGAATCACCCTGTGAATTAAACATCTGAATTTATTAACTAATTTAATTTCGTTTACACATTGACAAAGTTTCAGATGTTAAATTTTCTCTAGAACCAATGGTAGGATTGTAAATTAAAGAAAAAAGATGAAGTTTAGATTAAGAAACAATAAAATTTGAAATGCTTTGTCACTGAACGTTTTCTTCATGGCATTATAAGAGTAGATAGATTGGTGCGTTTGTATTTCATATTTTTTAAAAAAAGTACTAACTTATCTGTCATTTATAATTAATAAATAAGTTTTCTAAAATTTGTATTTAATAAATGAAAGAGTACTATCAATCTTTCCTTTATTAAAATATTTTCATACTGTTTAATGAGATATGTGAATAGACATTGGTACATGTAAATAATTGTGAATGTTTCAAACCAGAATTGGGAAACACATTTGATGTAAACAATAATTTTTTGAGTAGGGGAAGAATAATAAAACTGGATATGAGTTCATAATTATTGTCTAATACAAATATAATATTCAGTGGTGGCTTGTGACTTCAAGAACAGGTGGTTCACAAAAAATTTGGCACAGGGTGGCCTCAGTTAACTCTGTAAACAAAACCAGTCTTCTGCGAGTCACTGCAAATCTGTACTCTGTGTTGCATATACTTGAAAGCAGACCAGAACCCCCCCCCCCCACACACACACACACACACATACACATTATTTAATGTGATGGGAGGTTCTTCCTCATGGAGGATATAGACCGTTAGTTTTTCTTAAATGTTTGGAAGATGAATGATCGTTGTATAGCTATTGAAAAAAAACTATGATTTCAGTTTAAACATAAATAGAATAAAACGTTCAGAATATACCAACGAGTTTGCTGCGCTCAATTCACGCGTTTGATTCGCTTTCTTATGGTTAGCTCATCCCTGGCCTGGGGTTTGTCGTCGACCCGCGAAGCACCTCGTGTGTGAGGTCTGATCCGTGTGCTCTTGGTTGGACGACCCTGACCCCTTCCCCATGCTTTTGAGATGTCTAACATCGTAGAGCTAAATACACCTAGCTTCCTTCCGCTTGTAGCCAGTGGTTTGTCATCATTAAGGGTCGGATTTTAATGACATGTCTTTTTATCTCCATTTTAGAATAATGCCGTTTAGAATAGAAATTATTTTTGTTATGACAAGGAAATGACCCATTTTCGTCTTCTTTTTTTTCATTTTTCGTAAATTTCGACTAATAAGTATTTTTACTTTTCCCCCCGTTATTTTTAATGCATCTTTCGCCGATTTTATCGATTTTAATGGCACTTGCTTCAAATAATACGTATGAGATGCAACAAATATTCTCATGATAGCCTATTCGATTTCTTCCCTCATCAATTGTAATGTCAGCCGTATGTAATCTAAGGTTCCTGACGCCTGCGCCATTGTCTTCGTCCGATTTTGCGATAGCGAAAGACAGATTTTCTGGTAAAGAACAGTCCAAACCTAAAGTTCG